GAGAGTCAACAGGGTTTGTTGACTTACAGTAGTTTATAAGCCATTAATTGCATTGCACATTACATGGTTATGCTCTGTAAATGAAAAACAGGTTAACAGTATTCCTTATAGCTATGAAGTTTTATTAGCAACCTGGATTGAACGCAGCAGGTGATACAACATTCATAATAACCACGAGAGACTTGACGTGGACTCTTGCTCAGAGACTTGAGACTTGACTTGGACTCTAGCTCAAAGACTTGTGAGCATCTCTGGCAATATGACAAAAATGTGGTGTTTTTTGAAAATTAAACCATGTAAACCTGTTCTGGTACAACCCCTAAATAGGATTTTGAACCTGAAATTGAGCATAATACCACCTCTTTAAGAAAACACATGCAAATAGACAAAAATAAGAAAATGAAGAAAACATCTTTAACAATATAACATGTGCCAGCATGATGAAAACAGTTCACTCTCAATGCAGTAGTGTCGTTTTAGGCTGAAAAAGGTAGCTGTTTTCAGTGACAATGCTTTAAAAACCCACTCTACGCTACCTACTCAGCACCAAACAACAGAAAGTTAACACAGTTGGTGAATAGCTAGTGAACATTGTGGCGCATTTAGCCTGATATTTTCCTATGGAGTTGGTGAAGACCAAAAACAGAGCTAAAAGAGTGAAATATTGACCAATGAAAATTAATTATAATGTTGCTCCGTAACAGCAAATTGGTAAACAACTGTTTGCTATATTAATTTAAAACTTGATATGTCAATGTTGTGTTCACAACTTATTTCAGGTGCCTTCAAGTGGCCAAAACATATTGCAGGTTTAAGTTTATTTTAGTTTTAACATTGACATTAACAACTGATTATATGATTGAGATATAAATACAGTATCTGCTTTCCACCTAGTGCATAGCAGGTGTATATAATGTACAGGCTGATGTATACTATTACGCCAAATGTGTAAGTAACTCCATGAGCCACAACCATCTGTTTTAGTGTCCCCATGAAACTTTATTTTGTAACTTCCGTGCAACTTGCAGCATTTCCGTATTTGATTGTGTTGTATATACTCGCAGCACACTTTGCTATGTTGCATATGTGTTGAAATTGTCAATGATCTTTTCTTCATTTGATTGTGTTTTGTCTATTGTGTTTTGTTATGGTTGCAGTGCGGTCTTATAGGTTGCAGTGCGTTATGACTTATTCTCAACCATTGCCCGTCATAGCCCCCATGACAAAAATATTAGAAACAGAAAGCGTTTTAAATTCTTTACAGTAGCTTGCATCTGTGTTTTTATGCATGACCACAGTATTACAGTACACTGGAGGATGTCTGGATGAGGGTCGTACTGATCAGAGTAAATTACTACATATCAATCCCACTCTGTCACAAAGTTAAGGAATAGGGTACATGAGGCCTCAGATTTCTTTGTTCCAGATGTGGGGGTTTTGCACTTGCACAGACAAATATAGTTGAATGAGATAGGGATAAGAGCCAAGAATAAAATGATTGAAATTTTCAATCTAGGGCTGTGAACAGAGATGAGATGCAAACCAAGCGTCCCTTTGGGGAGAAGTATATGGATTATAAGATCCTGCTGCTGGTCCATTGAGACACAGGCAATCACTTAGCTGTTTGATATCCTCTTAAAGGTTGTGCTTGGTGCTACTGTATGCTTTTACACAACCTGAAGAATATATGATGACTATGATCAATGTTTTTTATATGTGACACCTTTTATGGAGCAGACCTTTATTTTCTGGTTATGCAACCCACTGAGAGTCTTTGCATTACATTGCCAGCCCTGCAGCATGTTACAAGAAATTGTATATGTTTCAGGTTATGGATCCCAGTGGCATAAGGAAATGCATTGCTTACTGAATGTAAGAGGTGTGTGTGTGTGTGTGTGTGTGTGTGTGTGTGCGCGCGCGCATTGATACCAATAATATTTTATATGTTCTTCCACGTTTAACTGCATTAAATCCACACATGTCTGTGGTTTTCACAATATTAAATAGTTTTTGGTAATAACATACATCTCTCTACATACATGTTTTTTAATACAGATGGGTGGCTATACACATTTTCATTTGGTGGAACTGGGCACAGATGGCTCTGATGTAGTAATCTCTTCAATCTGCTTTCAATCGCACTGTACAGAAAGGAGGAAAAAGGCTGCAGTAAAGGTCATGACGATTTAGCATTTGTTACATAGGGTGGTGTGTTATAAGCATTAAGCAACCTATGAGATTGTCAAAGGCTACAAGTGTGAGTGAGCCCAGTAATCTACCTTTTACGATTGATTTTTAGGTATACCCATAACAATTCAACAACAACAATTAACAACTTATAGTAGCGCCAGACTCAACAAGGACTATCTTTATTTCTAGTCCTTACACATACAATCTTCATCTCAGCAGGTATGTTCAGGGATTAAACAGAGCTAGAGGCAGCGGGATCATCACTCCAGTACACAGGGTTCAGGTGCAGTTTAGTTTTAACACATCAGCCTCCAGGCACAGGCACCTACTCCTGCGAGCAAACAGGGCCTTCACTTTCAGACCTCCCTACGTTTAGATGCAGACAAGAACCCAAGTTTTTCAGTGAAATCATGTTATGGCAAAAAACCTGAGAACTTTTCGGCATGCACTGCAGTAACCTTGCTCTAAGTTACTCTAAGATCTAACATGCAGCTGGTTAACCAGCAAGATGTCTCCAATCCCTTGCATCCATACTCCTTTTTATATGAACAGCACATGGTGGATCATATATCATTGTATAGCACATATGGAAAATATTGATTATTTTAACATCTAATAAATCTGAAACTAAATGACATGAGTCACACACAAATGTAGCAAAACTGAGCCCAAATGAAGCCAACAAAAAACTTGAATATTGTCTTGCTTGATTGTGTTTTGTGTTTTGTGTGTTTTTTTTCTCCCTTTGATAGAGTCCTTTGTATAAATCTGCCAAAAAAAATCAGTTTTATAAATACAACCTTGGGTATCTGCGTGTGTTCTCTGAATTTCGAAAGCAATGTTTTTGTAGATAGATTTTAAATGTTCACTTTAATATTTTATTTGACGTGTCTGCCAGAAGAAAGACAGCAGCCACTGCAGAGACTGAAAGGACGGAGGCCACAAAAAAGAGAAGAAAGAGCCTAATAAGAAAAATAGTGGCGATAACTGACTGCTGATAAAAGTAAACCTAATGGGAGCTGTATTTTTCCAAAACTAATCACATTTAGGAGTTCCGATTTGCCGGAAATTAACATCACAATTACATCTCAAGGACCCAGACATCCCAACTAAATTTGAATTATGCCACCCACCTTTTCTTTTAAATAAATTAGGCACCCATGCTTCGTGCACTTTATTTATTCATACATTTTTTTTCTTTCTGACCTTCTGTTGCTTGAAGAGCACACCCAATTTATGTAAGCTGCTACATAATCAGCCAGCAGTCATTTTAGCCAGTGATTTTATTTTTTATTCTCTAATCCAGATATTTAACTTCAAAGTGACAACGGGCTGACACCTTGGTGGTTAGGGTACACACACACATACACAGAGCCTTACACAAAGAGCTCAGCAGGTCTTTCCGCAAATAGTGACTTTACCTTGATCTACTAGTTTAATTAAATGATATGCTGGAGATTTAGATGTGAGTGTATTGTGCTCACTCTCCAGCCGACATGATCAGAGTCATTACAGCTGACAGACTGAACTGTGAAACTAAACAGTGAGGAGTCCTTGAGGTGAACTGATGCCTATTAGCAAGCTATAACAACAATGTACTGCTTTAAAAGATTAATGACACAAGGTTCACACAGGCACATATAAATGAATAGTTGTATACTTAACGTATACAGTATACTGTACTTACAGTGTGGTTTACTCGTTTAATTTCAGAGTTAATGAAGTGCTTCATTTTTTTTATTTTTATAAAACATACATGTAATATGCAGCCATAGCAATGCAGCAGGTACAAACCCTAATGCACATGTTCACGTGAAGGTGAGTTGTTTCCTCAACATCACAAATCACCTTTGTTTGAGTTCAGAATCTTGATTGTTTTGAGTATTGCTTCCCAAGACAAAAAGAGATAAAAGATTGCAGTTTAGGCGGAGTGATGGCATCGAAGTTGCTTTTCTGACCCATTGCCAGTATTTTTCTCAGTGGTGTAAGAAGTACTCAGTTCTATAATAAAGTACCAGTACAACAATGTACTCCATTGCAAGAAAAAACACTGCATTCATAATACTGCCTAAGTAAAGGAACAGAAGTATTATCAGCAAAATGTACTTTAAGTAAGTACAAGTAAATATTATATATTACATTATTATATTGTTAACACTGATGCATGTGTAAGCATCATTTTACTGTACTGTAGCTGGTTGAGGTGGAACTACTTTTAACTACTTTTAACTACTTATAGATACAGTTAGATAGTTTAGTCCAAAGGTTCTCAACTTAGGGGTTGGGCCCCCTCTAAAGGATCACAAGATACATCTGAGAGATTGTGAGGTGATTAATGGGACAGGAAAGAAAAAAAATATTTCTTCCTCACAAATTTAAACTCATTCTTTGGACTTTTCTGTAGTCTTTGCTTTCTTGTGAAATATTGGAACATTTTACCGTTTTGAGCCTCAAGCATTTGAATTATATCATAGACAAATGAAACATGACATGGAGCCTCAACTAGACACTGCTTAAATCACAAGGCAAAACATTTGGGGACCTCTGATTTAATATTTAACAATGCATGATGTTTTATGTGCATATCATATAGTATTATGTATAGTCTTAGTGTGAAAAGTAACTAGTAACAATTATGTTCACTCACCCTCTAAAATGCAGTGGAGTAGCAGTAGCTAACATAACATTTTCAAATTGTACTTAAGTAGTTACTGTCCACCAGTAGTATTGCTCATGTTATGCTTAAAAATGACTGATGAATGTATGAAAATACTTACAGGACCCCTCTGTCTGTTGTTCTTTGTTCACAGCTACACCCTCCGAGTGGTAGGCAATGGGATCAAGGCTCAGAGTGCCAACCCCGAAGTCAAAGTAAAGGGAGCAGACCCTGTAATAAATCAGATCATTGACAAACTGAAACACATCAATCAGGTGAGCCTCTCTCGTTGTCTCATATTTACTGCATGTACAGTACTTTATACGATTTTTTTCCCTCTCGCCCTCTCTTTTTTGCAGCTCTCACTCCACTTATTGGTCCCTCATTCTGTCAAACATATGGTAACTGTCTCCTTAGGCAATCTGCTAATTCTCTGTGCTTCTTTGTTTTATGGAACATTAAGTATCTCTCGTTTGGCTCGTTTTTCAAGGTATGCAGAAAGGGCTACCTTGAAAAGAAGCGACTACTCACGAAGCTGAGGACCCTTACTTTTTACCTTTTGAATAATTCTCAACAAAATCATTTGTTTATATCACCTTTCATATTACCAGTAAGTACCGGCTAATAGAAAACGAGTCTCAAATGCAAAATCATCTCCAGGCAATGAAATAAAAATCAATCATTACACATTTAGAAACCCATTTGATCTGGTTTGTGTGTCTTCATATTTACAAAATTATTTTTCTGCTCTTTGTCAAAATCAATGTAGCGTTTCTATCATCCAGCCTGCTTTTATGCAGGTTTGTGCTACTGTGGCTCCTTTCAGTGCTGTTTATCTCTCAGGATGATGAGATTAGGGCAGTTTACGGGAGCACTTTCTCTTCTCTACCTTCAATAACAGCTGCTGTAGCAGGCTCTGAGTTGTTGCACTGCAGCAGCAGCTTCACGTGTCTGTTGCTTTGGTTTCCCAAGTGGCAGGCTGAAGGCCACGTTATCTCTCTTGACCTCGTGCTGGCACCCCCTCCCTGACTAATTCACACCATCTGTGGGATGTCAGAACACATAAATCTATATCATAACCATTTGAGAGCTCCTGATGTGCCTCGTTGACATTATCTGTGTATATGTCTTTAATAATAACAATAAACTTAATTTGTTTAGCACCTTTCATACAAGAAATACAGCTCAACATGACATGCACCAAGTGCGTCGCATAAAAAAAAGATGAGCATAAAAACAGGGATAGAATTCCATAATTAATGTAAAATAAAATAGAGCATAAAATCCACTTGATAATAATTTTAAAAATAACATAAAATGCATAATATAAGGTGTAAAATAAAGCCCACTGAATTATAATAATATTATCTCTGTGTGTTTTTGCCATATGCATCTTAAATGTGCATCTTTGTGGTTCTGTGAATTTTTAGTTTTATGAGCTTCTGCAGCATGTGATTTACTATAACTACTATGAAAAGTATCACAATTGTCAGCTCAGCCTAGATTATGTAATCGTTTATAATCTGCTGACAGCAAGTACTTAAATGACTTTAACCTGTCACCAAAGTAACTTTTTCACCCAATACATTTTGCACACACACACATATATATATATATATACATATATATATATATACACATATATATACATATACATATATATATATATATATATATATATATATAGATGTGTGTGTGTGTGTGTATATATATGTGTAAAATATAGTCCAGTAATCACTCTTTCTTAATCTTTAGTTATTTTAGTTTTTTCTTCTTTTTCTGTTGGGGTCTCAACCAACTCCTGTGGAAAATATCTGGCTCTTTAGCTGCTAAATTCTTGACTATGGTCACCAGCTAGTTGCTAATTTTGTCCATTCTGCTTTTTGGTACTGAGCAGGTAGTGGGCAGAGGGTCTGCAGCATTTTCAATTAAATCAGCTGCCTGCTGTGCCTGGAAATGAGGTTAATAACAGTAGAGTTGAGTGATATTTCTCTGTGGGTTAATCACAAGAAGGCATTTGATCCATTGTTAATGTAAAAATATTGATTATAGCTTCTTTAAATACAATACAATCATATAGATTTTCAAAAAACAGGAATATGTGAACCTTCCAATTCCCCCCAGTTTGACTGACAGGTATATCGGTAATAACTGTAAACACAACAGGTAAACAGATAAACAGATAATGTGTGAAGAAACTAACTGAGGTTGGTCTGACTTCAACAAAAAACACACACACACACACAGTGTGACATTTGATTTTCAGATTCACAGCTTGTTCAAAAATCGGTGTATTGCAATGGTGATAGGTTGTGTTTTGCTTCAGTTTTAGAATAATACTCTGTTTTCAGCACTTTCAGCACAAGTCCGTGGAACTATTCAAAGACAATGACAGAGCAGATTCGCGTAATGTATAGACCTAGTATGCTATTGACATTTAATCAATACTGAAATTAGTGGGTACACAACCAGATTGAGCAGTGTTCTAAATATACTCTCATTAGAGTCCAAACAATTATCCAGCTATAAAACACAAATGTCAGTGTGAGCGTAATAACATCATTGGTGTCATAAATTCTCAAGGCAGCTGCATAAAATCACTGAAATGTTAGTTTATCAGCACAAATAAACTTCCCATTTCACCTACGTTCGAGACCCTTCCACAAAGTGGAACCACAGTTGTAATACAAAAATCCCCCACCTAAATAATTATGAGAGAAAAGAGCTAATTACTCCCACAGAATAAAACAAAGTATTTTTATCTCCACCAAGTGTATGCTTGGAGGGGATCATGTATTTGTGTGTGTTTGCATCTGTGTATCTGTCTACAGCTAATCTCGCATTCTACTGAACCCATCAGCCTAACGTTTTTTATGCTCATTTATGACTGGTATGCTCAAGGACCTCTCGTGGTTGCGGTGAATTTTTGAAAACTTGTTTTATTGACTGCTCTGTTTTATGACTGCTGACCTCCTCACTCCTCTTAACTGGCTGGTAGGTGAGTACGTTAGTTAGGTCAGTGAAGTTTCATTACATACGTGATAAATGTTAAATAGGTTACATAAGTTAAAATAAGTCAATGCTGTCATGCCCTTTCTGCACAATATAAGTCAGTAGAGACTAAATAGCATAAAATGACATGCGAAAAGCAAAAAAGGCTCTGTGATAACATGGGAGATGACTTAACACATCAGCATGTTATTCATAAATCATTTCCCACATCACTAGTAACACTGACCGAGAAATTAGTGTTTGTAACTTTTATCCAGTCATTTATATGTTTGAATTGGGATCTTGTATGATCATTTCTAATAATAATGAATGAAAGATTTTACATCTCTTGGTCCAGCAAGCTCTGTAAGACACCAAATCCATCCTGAACGATTTGAGACATTTGGAGAGACTGATCACAATTGCACCCCAGCTTGCCCAGTTTGTCATTTGTTGCTGTTTACTTTGCTTGCTGAGTCTGGATGCAGCCAATTTAAGATCTTGTCCAGAAGTGATTGTTTGAAGTTTGGTGGCTGCTTTCAGTAGTGTGGAAAAGTCAGCTTTCGTGAAAAGGACTGGCCTCAAAAGTTTGATTTTCTGTTGAAATTCAACATTTGCCCTTGTGCACAAGTGCTGTTTGCCAAATCCTCATGGTCTGTGCCAGCACTGCCTCCAGCACATGCAGACAAAATAAAAATAAAGATGCTGTGCCAGTTCGGTAGGGAAAATAGTGAACCTTTGTCTGTTTTGTATGGCCATCATCCAGATCTTGTGTTAAATGAGCTGTTCTTTACTGTAACTATTCTAAGGTTTTATTTGGGTTTATGGTAATTTAAGATGCAAATAACCAGAAATTAATTATTAATTAATTAATTAATTAAAAAGTCCTCCTCAAGCCAAATTACACTCCATCACTGGGTCAAACTGATTCTCAAAAAGAAGGGCTTTGTTGTGCTACTTGCAAGATTCATATCAGTTACATAATATTTATCACAGTGCATGTTATGGTAACATCACTGAGCCTTACAAATAAGATGTTGAAAAGTGTAAAGAGAATGACAGCTTTGGTAGTTAGTAGTTGTTGTGCCTTTTTTAGTAGCAAGTGCATAATATGTGTTATGTTGTTATTGTGCTGCAAAAAGACACACCTCAAATTCACACCAGACGCAATAAGTTAAAACTATGTTCGACAGTCCCTGTACTGAAGCTCTAAATGCCTATAGTGTATCTGCAAAGCTCATAGCAGATGTGGCCTTGATCATCATATATTGGTATGGATAGATAGCAACATATTGTAGCAATTATCATAGCCGGCTGCGGAGATCACTTCACTTAGCATGTCAGAAGGAAACCTGGCTCAACTGTTGCAACTGCAGATTACTTTGTAACAGCCATATTCCTACCGTTTAGCTTGTGATCGGTTTAGCTTTTATCATTACCCTGAACAATGATACCATGATGAACCTAAACAATTTAGAAACAGTCATTAGCTGCGTTTTAGAAGGCATTGACAGGCAACCTACTTTGTAGTTTTAATATGAGGACTCATTGCTGCTGTCAAGTTGAACAGAATACACAACAGGGAGTCATCATGTAAATCACTGACAATGTGACAGTTTAAGATGGAAACTGGGGCATGGGGGGGATACAGTACGTGGGTAATGTTTAGATTGGAAATATAGCCAGTGTTAAATGGTGATTCTTTGAAATTTAAAATAATTGAATGTATGTGTGGTGGATGAATACTGGACGTAAGTGGAGGAGGTATACATGTGTGAGTGTGTGAGTGTGTGAGGTTGATGGCAGCTAAGTTTATGTCCTGCAAAGACATCAATTACATATACCAGTGCACACAATCATTCTGTTGTACACATGACTGACTGTGTGCACATCTGGGTGTACACTACACAATATATTACTTCTATAAATCACTGTAGTATTGGTGCACCTCATTAATATGATTAAACCTACCTTAAAGTACATGTGCATGTGTTCATGAATGGCAGGTTAAGTGTTTGAATGGCTAGAGAGAAACAGGGAAGTGTACACTGAAATATGGATAAAGGCAAAAGGTGAAATTCTGTTACCTTTTAAAGATTCCACTGTTGGGGCATTTTTATGAGGATAAGAATGATGTGTTGATGCAAATGTAGGTTTTCATGTTTTTCATCTACATATCAGAAATGTTCTTTACTATTTCCATTTATTCGCCCCTGACCTTGACTAACTGAAGTGCTCCCAGTTTCCCTAAAACCAAATGGAAATGTATCATTACTATTCCACA